TGATCGTCAAACTAGTGCTCCGTGTCCCTTCAGTCTTTCGGCTTAAATTAAATTGTTTTCGATCAACCAGATAATTGCGTTTTTCACCATGTGCTAAGTACTTCTCTCCTATAGCCCTACCCTCCCTCCATTAACTTACGCACGCACGTACAATTTTTTTGAAAGTCAGAGGAGATGGTCATGAAATTCAGAACAATTGCAAAAAGGCAGAATGCAGATTCTAGCGTGATCTTCGAGTTTGATCCTCGGTATAGTCTTCAACATCATTCATTGGTTCATTCGTTCCTCTCAAACAACTGTAATAATCATTACCTGAAAACAATTACGATTTTTTTGGAAGCAGAGACTGCCCAGACACATCCGAAACATCATTTGTTTCCAATCAATACTGAAATGCACGCACGTACACGCCAAAGGCTTGTGTCGGTTGTTGGACAGAACAATGTGAGCATAACAAATTGCCCCGCTTCAACTTTAAGAGAGGAAAGCGTCGCAGGCTCAACTCAATTACAAGAAAATCGTTAGTACAAATTTAACACAACTGACATATCCATGCAACCTACGTTATTAGGTGCATTTGTCACACTAGCAAACAGCACAAGGTATGATGCCGTTTGAATTGTAGTCCTGGTCGCTTAACAGTTAACATCCAACATGGCATGTCCCAGTTTGTTAGTATATGGACAACGAGCGCATGCATTTTTTCTCTCCAGAAATGTTATACCATACACATGTGTTTTAGAGCAATCCAACACACGATTTTAAGGCCATCTGATCTTCCCCAGCTCCAGCACGCCTTCGTCCGATCTGTGCCCGCGCCACCACTGTGGCCTCGTCGCGCCGTGCCCGTGCCCGTGCCCGCCCATGCCCGGGCCGCTGCGGCCTCGCCGCGCCGTGCCCGTGCCGCCGCCGCGCCCGTGCCCACACCGCCGCGATTTGTTACTTGTGATTTGTGCCGACACAACCGTGATTTGTCATTGTCCTTTCATAGAAAAAAAATTATTTGTTGTAATCTGAGATTTGTGATTTGTTGTTGCCTGTGATTTGTGCCGACATAGCCGCGGCCAAGGGCGGGGCGGCCGACGGCGGCAGGGGCGAGTTTGTGCAATACGTCTGGAGGTAGAAGAAGGCTGGAGGCTAGAGGTAGAAGAAGGCTAGAGGCCGTTTGTAAGGTCGAGATGACGGACTAGAGGGGGGGTGAATAGTCTTTTCTAAAATTAATCGCGTCGGCTAACCGATATAAATGCGGAATTAAAACAATCGGTCTAGCCAAGACTACACCCCTCTATATATGTTCACTAGCACCTTGCAAAGATACTAATAAAGCAACTAAGGTGCCGGGCTAGCTAGAGCTCTCCTAAACAATTCTAGGAGCAAGGTCACACAAACCTATGCCACTAGTACTTTAAGTAACAAGGGAGCTCCTACACATGCTAGTAAGCAAAAGCACAAAGCTAACTAAGCTCACTAGCAATGCTCAATAACAAGGCAACCAACGCCTAATTAGAGAGCGCAAATACTTAGCTACACAAACTAAGCAATGTGACTAACAAGGTTACTAAAACCAAATTAGCCACGCAAGGGAGCTACTTCTATGCTACACATGCAAGAAGATAATTAGCTAGCTACACAAGCTATCTAATTACAAGAGCAACTACACAAGCTTAAGATATATATATAAGTAATTACAAGCTTGTGTAATGGGGATGCAAACCAACGGGAAGAACAAGGTTGACACGATGATTTTTCTCCCGAGGTTCACGTGTTTGCCAACACGCTAGTCCCCTTTGCGTCGACCGCTCACTTGGTGGTTCGGCGGCTAATTAGCATCACCCGCTAAGCCCGCACGTCGGGCACCGCAAGAACCTACCCCTTGAGTGAGGGTAGCTCAATGACACGCTTTACTAAAGTTGCTCTTCGCGACTCCCGCGGGGCGAGCACAAGTACCCCTCACAAGCACTTCTCCGGAGCGCCGCACAAGCTTCTTGCGGGCTTCGACGGAGACCACCACCAAGCCGTCTAGGAGGTGGCAACCTCCAAGAGTAACAAGCACCACCGGCTTACAACACGACCACCTAGTGCCACTCGATGCAACCTCACGATGCAATCGCACTAGAATCGCTCACTCACACAATCGAATGATCACTATCAAGTATATGTGTGATGGAGGGCTCTCAAGCACTCACAAGTATGGACACTAAGTCCCTTGAGGTGCTCAACCCCAGCCATGGCCGAGGGCCACTTCTATTTATAGCCCCAAGGGCTAAACTAGCCGTTACCCCTTCACTGGGCAACGGTCGGGCCGACCGGACGCTGGACCTCAGCGTCCGGTCGCCCACAGACGGCCACGTGTCCTGCTTCCAACGGTCACTTGACTTGACCGGACGCAGCAGCTTTCAACTGACCGGACGCTGAACCCCTAGCGTCCGGTCGTTTCCAGTAAGGTACCGACCTCGACCGGATGCGTCCGGTCACACTTGATCGGACGCAGCCAGCGTCCGGTCATACTCCAGCTTCTGCGTCATCGTACGTCAGCCTGACCGGACGCAGCCTGCCAGCGTCCGGTGCATTCAGATCCAGCGTCCGGTCAGTTGACCGACGCCAGCATCTTCGCGACTAACTCGTTTTCACTTCTAACTTCATCACCCTTGCTCTAATGTGCTAACCACAAGAACTTGCATCCGGCGTAATAGAAAATAGGCATTCTATTTTCCCGAAAGCGCCGAATCCCGCCGAGCTTGCGAGGCGGGAGGGAGAGAGGGACCCAAACCCATCTCACCCCTGCAAACACCACCTCCTTTGTAAATGTGCCAACACCACCAAGTGTACACCACCATGTGTATGTGTGTTAGCATTTTCACAATTATTTCCCAAAAGATGTTAGCCACTTAACTTGCCACGCCACTCGATCCTAGCGACAATGCAAAGTTAGATCACTCGAGTGGCACTAGATGACCGATATGCAAACAAGTTTGCTCCTCTTGATAGTACGGCCATCTATCATAAACCCGGTCATAAACTTCTCTACACACCTATGACCGGTGAAATGAAATGCTCTAGGTTATACCTTTGCCTTGCGCATTCCATTCCATCTCCTTCAATGTCGATGCAACACATGCACCAACACGATCAACAATGATATGATCCACTTCATATCATCACATGATCATATTGGTTCATCGATCTTGACTCTACTTGCTCTTCACCGTTGCTATCGTCCATCGACGCCAAGTCTTGCTCAAGCTTCACCGCCACGCGGTCCATCACTCCAAAGCCTTTGACTTGCCCTTCACGCTTGCAACCGGTCCATCAAGCCAAGTCTTGTCTTGATCTTCTCCACCTTGATCACATGACTCAATGTCATGTCTCATGTGCAATAAGCTCCTTCATCATCACATGTGTGAGCTTTGCAACATCTCCAAGCCATTTTCACCTCCATGGCATATGTTGCTCATACACATGTACCTGTGGACTAACCACCTATGTATCTCACATAAACACAATTAGTCCACCTAGGTTGTCACTCAATTACCAAAACCAACAAGGACCTTTCACCGTTGGATCTTCATCCTACGGTTAAAAAATCATATGTTAAAACTGAATAAAACACATGGTTATGCAGTAGACAGACATTTTTTTGGGATTTTTAACTTTTTTGCGTCCTTACGGATGGCACATCTCCGTTTGACAGCTTTGTGCGTGCAACCATACATTTGCCATCGCAAACAGTGAAACTCCTACGTTTTTGCCACTTTTGCTGATGTGGCACGCCACGCAGGTATGCCAGTGCGACAGCGCCTCTGGGAGTTCTAACCCGGTACGAGAAAAGACATATTTACCCCCTGCTGTTTCTCTCTATACACGTGGGCTCCACATATCAGTTTCTTCTTCAACCTACAGCCATCACCGCACAACGAGCAAAGGGGAGGGGAGCAGCTGGTACAGAGTCCCGGCTGCGTCGCGCAGCGGCCTGGCAGGGGCGGAGCTGCAGGGTGGTCCCTGTAGGCTATGGACCACCCAGCGCTCGGCCCAACCGAAGCCCATCCATGTAGTCTGCACTGGAGAATTGATCGTGTACGTCGCTTGGCCTTCTATAATCGCGACTTGCGAGAGACTTCGCGTATTCGCGGGTGCGGCCATCAAGCACAGGACGTGCGGCAACTCCACGAGGACCACGAGTCCACGACAGCAAACGCTAAGCCGTGAGCAGCAACCAGCAACCATCAGGTACGTACATCAAAAACCTAAGATGAAGACTCAATTGCTTGAGCTTATTTAGCACTATTTTTTAGTCATGAAACAATATTTTTCTCTCACAACATTTCAGCATAAGAATCAGCATAATCCAAATTTCAGCATAAGTGAATAGGGTGTGCTATTTGCTAAGCCAAAGCCCTACTCTACTTTGTACTCACGTTTCTCTTTTTTCTTTCGGCCAGGATTGGAGGATCCATGTTTCAGCAATTGGCAAACCACAAACGGCAAAAGTGCACAGGGTATGGGTATATAAAACTGATTTCGGCTGTCTGGTCGGAACTGGTTGGGCCCCGTCACTGCGTGGTCGGATCGGAACTGGCTGGGCGCCGTCGCCCATGCCGTCGCGCGCTCAGGCCGTTGCGCCCAGGCCCCGCGCGACCAGGCAGCTGCGCGACGTGGTCGGGGCTCAGCACGAGCTCCTCCCCTCCCCTTCCCTCGCTGTGAGGTGCTGGCCGAAGGTGGAAGAAGAAACTGACATGCGGACCCACGCGTCAGCGAGTAGAGTGAGAAACAGCGGGGATAAGTATGTCTTTTCTCATGCCGAGTTAGAACTCTCAGAGCTGCTGCCGCACTGCGTGGCGTGCCACGTCAACAAAAGTGGCAAAAACTTATGAGTTTCCCTGTTTGCGATAGCAAATCTGTAAGTGTACGTACAAAACTGGTAAACGGAGAAGTGCCATACGTAATGATGCCAAAAAGTTAAAATCCTATTTTTTTAAACATTAACAACACTGGTGCTTTCTTCACTTGTAGAAGTCGAAGTCTGTCTCGGGCTTCTTTACATTGGTCCGGTAGCCCTTCTCAAAGTCCTTGGGCAGGATCACGTACCGGTTTTTCCTGACGGCATGCATGCCAGCTTCTTGGCATATTGCAGCAATCTGGAAAAGGGATAGGTCCACGAGTATATTAAAATAATAAAGGGTCAAAAGGAGAACAGTATAACTTGTAAATTGTATCTACGTCTACAAGGAATGGAGAAATGTATGGTCTACTGTGTATTACCACACCAAGAGTCAAAAACTGAGGAGGCAAAGCAAAACAGCCATCTAAGTTTTTTTTACCTCAGCCCAAAAGAGAATAAGCTAATTTGCAACAGGGCTATCTAATTACTATTAGTACAAGAAATTTGTTTTTTTTTGAAAAAAAAATCACCATGTAATTTGGTGCATAACCCACTATACTATTTTGGTAACCTAGTATAAAATACCCACTTTGTGCATAATCTTGAGCATACAAGTGTAGTTCTCTGGAATTTCCTCATTTATAACTAGTGCTCTTGTTGTTTTACATAATGCAAATTGAAAATGATGTGGCGATTTGATGCACAATACCAAGATGACAAGACTTGTAGATCCACTTAAAGCTATAAATCTCTTGGTTGTTAACTTTAAGTTCAAAACTCTGCCAGAACTAAATCTAGTGCAATAATGAGCAGGTAATATCTGTCATTACAAATGATATTAACCTTCGATATTTGCTCAGCGAGCCATATTTGCTAACTTGCTAAGTGGACAGCAGGGACATCACAAAACAATGAGCTACTGACATGCCTCATCCTATTTAGAGACAGGTAATTTAGATGAAGCCACTTAACCAATAGAACGAATCATTGGACTCCGTGCTTCACTATCAAGGTAACAGGAGAGCGAACAAGAAGCATGAATGTTCCATGTATTTTATCCATTCCCATTAAAGATCAACGAGTGTTCAAGTTTGCAGTGTGCGGAGATAAAATTCTAAAGTGTATTAGCCTACGCAGCAGATTACATGTAAGAGGTGCTTTTTTGAGATAACATACAACTAATGACCCAATGCAGACAGTATCCCAGTAGTTTAAATGCAAATTATTTAATATAATCATACTGAATCCTCGTAAGGAAAGTAGACTCACATCAGCAGCACTGATCTTATCCGGTCTGCAAACATAATCTTCCAAATCAACCTCGTCACTCAAATTCATCTTGGCAGTGCAGACCTGAATTGAACACAGCAGCCAGTGAGCAGTTGAGAAAAAATATGATACCAGCGACAAATATGAAAAACCAAAACACATATAAAAAGAAAACAATTTAGTTTGCACTGATTGCAAATCCTTGACAGACCATATGACCATATCACAAATTCACAATTGAGCATGTGCATCTCTGCAGTAGCAATTGGTATGCAGTATGACATGGTTGAAAATTTTAATTAATTACCAAATAAAGAAATTTGTACAGCCCAATAGCTATTTGTACAAGATGAAAAGGACCTTAATAGCAATACCTGAAGCAATCCATCAAAGTTTCATCATATGTGAATAAACAAAAATCAAATACCAGGCATGCAATGGCCCCGTTCGCTTCGCTGAAAAAACAAGCCGAAACAATGTTCCGGCTGATTTATTGTGAGAGAAAAACACTGTTCTGGCTAAAAAAACAAGCTGAAAAGTACGGATTATAAGACAAACGAACAGAACCAATATATTATACGGTACTTCAGTAAATTAATATGCAAGTTGTGTTACTTCACAAGAACGAAATATAAAATGCCAATCAGTTAGTTCACACAAAAAGACAACTTACTTGGAACACAAGCCTCTTCTGCCGCCGATCAGGAAGAGGGAACTCAATTTTCCTGTCAAGCCTACCTGGACGCAACAGAGCAGGATCCAAAGTATCTGCCCTATTAGTTGCCATTATAACCTTCACATTTACTGTTTGATCAAATCCATCCATCTGCAATAAACACAGGCAGATTATTACAAAAACCACGAACTCCAGCATCTAAGAATTTCCAACCTAACAATCTGCCAAAGTTAACTTTCCAAGACCTCAGCTATCATTTTTATAATATTATAGTTTCTACTTGTCTCAGAACATAAAACAACTTAGCATGTCAGGGTGAAGATGGCTTTACAATTTCAATTCCAAAACAGAGCCTTTTCTTATATTTCTTGGTCTAAAAAAAGTTTCCTTTGAAATACAGGGTTTTGTAACATAAAATGGCAAATCTATTATAATTTCTAGGAAAACCACAACGATCCAAAAGCCCCCTTTACCTGATTAAGTAGCTCCATCAGAATGCGCTGAACTTCTCGGTCAGCACCTGTCTGAGCATCAAAACGTGCAGTGGCTATAGCATCAACCTCGTCAATAAATATGATTGCAGGGGCATTCTCCTTAGCCAAACGGAATACATCTCGAACCACCCGAGGACCCTGAAAAGGAATTCAAAGAACATAAGGCACCAGGAACAGAACCAATAAATCTGGAACACCCAAAAAGTACAAATGGCACATATTCTTATGGAACCATATAAGAACCTAATACCACAGATAGTTAAGCAAGAGATGTTGTCATGTGTGCCACCAGAAGATAATTTCTATGCAAAATGTAAAGCCACATAACCATTTTTAGTCATATGCATCACAAAAAGATGCATTCCATGGAAAATGTAAAGGCAATATACAAATAGAAAGGTAGTTGTTTGGACTATTCACAGGTATACATAGTTATGCCATTTTTTTCTTCTCGAACTACGCGAGAGCTTTGTCATTTCATTAAGAAGAAGAATAAATAAATATAAGGGAGAGAAGTAAGAAACCCTGAAAGGTACCCCCACCGGGTTTAGGCAAAATGGCACTTTAGAAAATGAACTAGGGAAACACGACCAGTAGGCTCAAACAACTAAAGAACTACTCCCTCCGTCCCATTGAGTTTGTCGTTGGAAAACCGTGCCCCCCTCACAATCCCGCTTCCCGAGCGACAATCTTAACGGGACGGAGGGAGTAGTTATCTAGCACCAACAACCTAGCAAGGAACCCATGTAGGCATAGTTATGCACTTATGTCATGAAGCTACATGAAACCAGGTTCCTGTAATCCAAAAGGAGATATATTTTATCCCCAACAAGCATACACCAAACACCTAACTCCCTCTTCGACACCTTTCTGCTCACTGGTTTCACTTCTGCATAGCAGAAAGCGCTATGATATCCATCTGTTTTATTTTGAAGCCTTTTTTCACATACTTTTTTAGAACATTTTTTCATATGTTTAAGCAGTATTTAAACACAGATATGGATTTTACCACAAAGCACTCAGCACTGGAACATAAACAAACATATATACATGTAGAATGTTTCACAACTACAAATGGCAGGGAGTGTTGTGTGTAATTTGGCAACAAATTGCAAGGGCACCAATTCTGAGTACAATCGCCCGAACTTGCCTCACCCAAGTACTTCTGCACGAACTCTGAACCAACTACCCTGATAAAAGCAGCAGTTGTGTGATGTGCCACAGCTTTGGCAAGCATGGTCTCGCCAGTACCTGGAGGACCATACAGAAGCACACCTCTTGGTGGATCAATACCAATCTGCTTGTACAACTCGTGATGTGTCAAGGGTAACTCGACAGCTTCCCTGATTTCTTGCTTTTGAATGTCACATCCACCAATATCCTGAACACAAAAATAAAGCAGCAAAACATTATAGATTTTGTATTCACTGTAAGATAAACTGCTAGAATAAGCAACAAATAGCCCGTGTTTTTATTACAGTCAGAATACCCAAGGGTAATAAACTTCAAAATCTAACCAAATTTAATAGCTCCTATGAGTCCATGAGTAATTTTGAAACTCTGTTGTATGGAACTGACATTTAAGTTTTAATAGTGTGTACTTCTACTAAAGCAATTATTTTCTATGTCATAAAGATCTGCATTCAGTATGGCCATTATGCAGCAAGAGAGCGTAATATTGTCATTGAAGCATCTATCTCTAACATATAAATATTAAGTGGGTGCTTGCCTATTTGGTTCATATAACTCTACTTTGTAAATTAAATGTTAGACAAATTTGAGGTCATTCGTGGCCATAAATTTCTGACTTGTTAGTTGTTACACTTTGACACAGCCAGGACTAGCAACGTTCCAAAGCCATCCAAACACTACCTAGTCTAACAAGTGAACATGTTTACATTAAGGGACACCTCAAAACATGACACACTTTTATAGATACAAAAGAAGGTAAAATCTTATTGCTTGTTCACAGCATTGCACCAAATATGAAGCCCATATCCCCTTGTCTAACAATGCCAATCCCCTGCATTCTTATAGTAGCTACTAGAATAACAATATTACAAGGAGTAAAGATGAGGCCTAGTGCAACGAGGCCAATAGTCCACATAAAATCAGTCAGTGCACAAAGCCGGCAGGGTACATCCTGCCATTAACAAACTTTCACGCTTTCTATGAATATTTTGTTAATGATTTCATGGTTGATACTGAAACGAGCGAGAATCCAACTGCAATTGTGTCGGTGAAAAAACGTATCGATGCGCCTGACACACGGCAAGCCGAAAGGATCTGCCTGGAGTAAGTCCGGAGATCCGCTTGGCTTCAACGCAGGACCAGCCGATCCTACGAATTCCCCAGTCAATTTGACCTGTAATTGACAAGGAAAGAAAATTTATCAGTAATTTAGGGTGGAACATGCCGGTTTTGCCTAGACAGTTCCAAGTGTGCCACTTCGGGAGCAGCCAGACGGGAAAATCGACTAAATAGCCTATACGAGAAGAAATCGGCTGTTAAGAACTAAAACGCTCGCGGGTCATGATTGATTTTATAGTAACGAATACAATGCACCCAGTTTTAATGATCCTTTCCCTTAAACTATTAACATGTATGCGTCAAAGATGGTCACTGGCTAAGTTAGATTTGATCAATACGTGGTGTAGAGCCAATGAATCTGGTGAAAAGGGATATGCCACGCAAACAATCGACTGTTTGATATAGGCAGATCTACGAACCATCTAGATCTAACCTATTACCGTCAACAGTGAGGTTCGACTGGATCGATACAGCTATGATATGATAATGATGATAGTCTAGAACCGAAAAATCCATAGAACTGACCATACTTCAACAGGTTCAAGAAAGCGTGCCATATCTGTGAAAGCGTAAGCGAATCGGTTAAAATAGCCGATTCAGGTAGAAAAGAGATTACAACATGTGAACAATCGACCGTTTAACGTGGACAGATCTATAAACTCATCAAATCTAACCTGTTATCCTGAACAATGGGGTTCGACCGGATCGATGGCAGCCATGATAAAAACAACAGATCAAACATTTAAAGTAAACAGATCTATTCACATTTAATAGAATCATGAAGACACACTATAAGCGTTAAAATACGGGCAATCGGCTATTTAGCCGATGCAGGCATAGCAAACAACCAAGGTTATGCCTGGTCGAAAGCAAATCTACCGGCTAGCATACTCGGATTTAAAGTGCTAACAGTGGGGATCGACCGGATCGTTACAATCATAATAGCAAGCTATAGACCAGATTCAACTAGCTAGTAAACCTACTCAAAATCAGACATGCCTTGATCGCGTACTATGCACGATCAAGATCGAAGTAGAACGGCCGATAAAACATAATCCGTCGCTTAAAGTACGAACCATTGCAATGTGACAAAAATAAATGATGGACCAAAAGGATGTGAGGCCGACCTAGATCGATCTCGATCGGGCAGGTTGATATTGCTTAAACTAATGACAACAAAAATATCAGCAAGATCGGTAACTTAATAAATCTACCCGAAGGATGCCACCCTTAGGTAGATTCGATAACTTGACCTTAATCTAATTCGAGCAGTGGAGGTCGAACTTAACCGATGCAGCCGTACTTAAACTAGATAAGGATCGATAACTAACTCATACTAGGGCTCGTAAGAGGTCGGGCGGACCGATGCAGCCTTACAAACAGAAGTATAAGCCATGATGGTACTTACAGATAAGCCGAAGGTCGACCGGATCGATGCAGCCCTGCTTGTTGAAGAACTCGCCAAGATCTACAGTACTCCTACTCCTAAGGGTTAGCGTAAAGCCAAAAAAGTAATTGATATTTATTGATTGGATCTTTTTTACAATAGTCAGGGTTCAATTTTTATACCTGGAACCTAAGCATGAATCCTACTCAAATACGGCTTATTTCAATCTTTGGAGTAAAAAAAACATTTCTAACTTAAGATAACCTGGACCCTAATCTTTCCTTTTGTAGAGTGCGACATATTTTTTCTGACACCAACCGTAGCTTATTAACGTTATCTGCTGACGTCATCCGAAGAGAGCTGATCCCAGCACCGCGCCTGAATCAGCTGATATCGGTCGTTCTACAATCGATTCCTTGATGACACAGTCTTGGAATCTTTGAGTTCCCGCGTTCTTCTTCCCAAATTTTAGTGTAAACACATGCCCCCCAATTTTGGGATAAAAATAATTTTATTCTAAAATTTCTTTTTACCTATTCACCATGTCGCAACCGTTTATTCCGAAATATACGCGTGACTCCTGATATTCCCGGTCCAAATTTTATATAATACCCCAACAGTGTCATTTTCGATTCACTCGGTCCATTCGCTTTCCCCTTCTTATCCAAGCGAGCCTCAACAACCAAAGCCGCCACCACTAGAGCTCCAACCCTAGCAGTTTTTCCTTTACTCGAGCTGTTCGTTAAGTCGTTCCTCTACAACCTTTTTTTGGATTTAGATCTATTCCAACTAAAATGGCGATAAGTGACTACATCCCTAAGGTACGTCTCCAAATTTCCACCCTTCAACTATCAGACGCTACTCTGTATTTTTATCTTCTTTAAGTTTATCTTATCTGGCTTTTCAGGGGATGGAGAATGAAATTATGATCCCTTTGTCTGTTGTTCCTAATGCTTATTACTTTAGACCCATGGGAGATGTTAATCCTTTGAATTTTATCAACCAAGAAACCAATCAAATTCCTTTTAGGCAGTCCTTAGTAGATCTGTCTTCTTGGAACACCAAAAATCCCTTTAGAAATTAGCAAAAAAATGCCTAAGGGATGGAGAGACTGGTTCCGTAGAGTGTCAGACAAAAAGGGCGGAGACTGGGAAGTTTATGATTTAAGCCAATGCCTGACCCTTTCACTGTCTAGAATGGAGAGAAATGATTCACTCCTAATTGTCGCTTCTTATTTCTGGACCAACACATTGAATGCTTTCATCTTTGGTCATGGCCGAATGACTATTACCTTGGCCAATGTTTATATGTTGACTGGCCTTAGAATAACAGGACCAATGCAGCTATATGAACTCTTAGGTGCTGGGTCGAAGAAACTGGCTAAAATATCGGACTACACAGGATGGGCAAGCTACATCCAGAACCACATTGGGAATGAATCGACTGTTAGCGAAAGAGAACATGTGGCTTTTCTAAACATGTGGTTAGAAAGACTCATCTTTTATGGGTCATCTTGTGGTATGATTTATAATCATAAACTCGTGACAGAGCATCTAGTAGTAGGCGTTGAGATTCTTCTTGGAAAGTATCTATTGAGATCAGCTGGCCGCTCAGCTGCTGAAGAATGAAGCAGTGCACACCATCAGCGGCCCTTGGTGGTTAATACAAATATGGTTAAATTTGTATATGCATAAGAGTGTAAAGCCAAATCTCCAAAATTTGAGCTTTCCCTCCTCTAACTTTGATGAGGAATACAGAGACGAAGAAGGAAGAACCCGTCAGTACTTGAACTATGGCGAAGCTGCATCGGCCATAACAGTTGCTGTCGATGTTGGCCATCTCTTCAAGAAGTTTTATGGAGGGTTTGATGCAGATATTCTGACTTCGCTATCCTATGATGAGGATGAGAACAATGAGTTGGTCTTCCCATTCAAATTTTGATTTGAATCAGGCTGTTCAAACAAAACGGCAGCAGCAATCTTCAATTCCTTCATCAAACCTTGTGTTCTTCTAGCCAAATTTTATCATGGTCGTGACAAAATGTCTAGAGGTTCCTTCCTTCCAGGTAACATTCTAACCTATGAGTTTTACAACCCTTCTTTCGTAGCTCATCAGTTTGGTCTTGGTCAACTGCCCCCAGCTATTTTTCAAAGATATACTAAAACCAAGAGAAGGCATTAGTGAGGCAATGGAAGCTTCTAGAGTTTTCTAGTTAGGATCAAATCTTTCTTCCCTCCATCTGCATGAATGGACCAAAGCCTCCTTCACTTTTCATTTATATGATTCCTGGTGGCAAGAGTGGCACTCCCACCTCTTCTGCAGGCCAGTTCATCCTAACTGTATAGCTCTGGATGAAGATTTTTCTTCTGATAGTGAGGTAATCAGTCAACTCCTTTTCTTCCATAAAGATCATCTACTAAAGTCTCTTTGTCAACTTATCTAACAGGACTCTCTTGTAGGATGCTGAATTCAATCCCCCAATTATGGACAAAAAAGGACATGTCATAGAGTATTATCCGCCAAGTCTAATCTCAAGACTAGGATCAACTGCACCTACACTGAAGAAGCTGATGAAAACCCAAGCTGCCTCTACAACTATAACATATCAATCTTCAAAACGTAAGGCAGCCCAAGGGACAACCCAGAAAACTATTACTGGGAAAAGGCTTTGCAGAACGAGACCA